TGTCTCGCTTGTCCGGTTTGCTGGCTGTGCCGGCTTTGCTGGTGTAGTGGCGGACTCCACTCGAGTCCCTGGAGGCCCCAACCCTTTTCGCCCGCCGCTGCCGCCACTACACTGGTGGCTGCGCTCCCCCGCCTCCATAAAAGTCTCGTCAGATTCGACTTTTGTGACTTTGAAATGGCGAGCGGCTCTCGCGGCGCCATGAATGCAATGAGATGCTAATGCTTGGCCGGCCGCAGATTGGGTTAAGCTGCGCCGGGGGTTGCCGGTCCGCGGGGCGCCGGCTGTCTCTGTCTCCCTCGCACTCACGGGGCGTCCCGTGGCGGCGCGAGAGAGACAGAGTCCGGAACGGGTCTGCGGCCGGCGCGCTTATGGTGGTGTGAGCGCAGTGCGCGGCGCGTCGAGGGTGCCTTGCCTCGTAATCAAGTTATGGTGGAGTGACATCGTGGAGTGCGCCAACGCGTCAATCGCGACGTCTGTTTGATTCAATTTGCAGCGAGTGGTGCGCGGCGCTGCGGGCTTCCGGGGGCCCAGCCGAGATGCCGCGCTCCCAAGCCTGGCCCTCGCCCCGCGGCCCGCAACGCCCCTTGGAGTGCGAGAGAGACGGAGCGAGGGGCGCGTTTACGGCGTGCTAAGCGGCGCTAATATTAATAGACAGCGGCAATTATTGTCGGCGCACAATTTGGCAACAATTTCCGCGGCGGCAAACGAGTGTGGTAGTAAACCCGGGCAGTCTGATGCCGGGAGTCGCCGTCTCTCTCTCTCTCTCTCGCACTCGCGGGCCGGGGCGGCGAGGGGCGCGAGACAGACAGAGCGAAGAGCCTGCTCTGCCGGCGGCCGCGGTGGCTCCCCGGCGCCTCGTTTGCATGGCCAATGAGGAGGCCGACGCGGCGGTGCAAGGCAGTGCCACACATTTGGTAAATACCGCCAGGGGCGGCACTGCGCTCCAGGTGAGGGGAAAGGGGGGGGGGCACCGCAGTCGCCGCCGACTGTCTGCTGCTCTGCCGCGGTGCAGAAAGTTTTCTGGGGGAGGGGGAGGGGGTTGAGGTTGGAGTTGCGTGCACGCACGACGGGGTTCGTGCGGATGCCGTGGACGCCTTTCCACGCGCTTTGTGTGTGTGTGTGTGTGTGTGTGTGTGTGTGTGTGTGTGTGTGCGCGCTCTTCTTTTTTTTCACGGAATCGCACGGGTCACTGGTCTGACTGACGATACACATGCTAAAGGCGGTCGCTCCGCTTCCTCCTCTGCGGCTCGCCGGAGAGCGCCCGCTGCACATTTCGTTTTTGTTTCTGTTTTCGTGTTCCCTTACGCGGAAATGCCGCTACCTGGCGGTGTTCGGCCGGGCCGGGCGTCGTCGCGGCCCTCGCAGTCCCCCGCCGTTGCGCGTGCTGCCCCAGATGATCGCGGAGGCCGTCTCCGTCTCGAGGCGTCAACTCCCGGCTGTCCGTCAAGAGTCGCTCATGCGCAGAGGCTGAGTCAGTCATGCGCTTCAACGAGCCGAGTCCGGTCCGTGTCCGGCGCATCGCTCTCTCTCTCTCTCTCTCTCTCTCTCTCTCTCTCTCTCTCTCTCTCTCTCTCTCTCTCTCTCTCTCTCTCTCTCTCTCTCTCTCTCTCTCTCTCTCTCTCGCACCCCCGCAGGGCCGCGCCGCGAGTGCGAGAGAGACAGAGCGACCTGGGCCGCATTAATAGCCATGCTCGTCTATTCTCATCGCTCTGTTATCTCATTCGGCTCGGTTATTTGCGCGCCCTGGACAAATCCGTTTTTTAACGGCTGGCTGGCGGCGCCGCGGTGCCACCTGGGCCTTCCCTCGGCCCTCCGCCGCGGCCGCTCCGCTGCCCGGCTGCTTAAATCGTTAATTCTTCACGTCGTCGTTTGCCGGCCGTTTTCCCCGAAAGTGATTTGGCCTCGCTGCTCCTCTCTCGACGCTCCTTTCGGTCCTTTCGGTCCTTTCGCGGCCCCGCTTTGTCTCCGACTTGGATTGCGTTCGCCAGTTCGCCACCAATGGGACAGAAAATTTCTTTTATGTCTGTCGCTCCCCTTCCCTCCGGGCCGGGATGGGCCGGGCCGCCTTAGCGCCCCGGCCTCATCAACATATTCTAATAAAACAAACTCGTTCTTTCTTGTTCTGACTTTTTGAACCGTTTTCCGGGCCGCCACGGAATGCCTGCCAGTGGTGCCTTTTGGCCGTGTTGGCGGGGACTTTTCTTTGGGAACTCTTTCGGGCGGTTGCGCGGCCGGCCGAGCGGACGCGCGGGGGAAGGGGGAGGGGGGGGGAGTTTGAATTGAAAGGCTGCAAAGCGAGGGGCGGGTGGGCCTGGAACTTGGAGCCGGCGGCGCGGCGACGGACAAACTGTGTCCACGTCCGCGACGACGGGACGGGACGGGCCCGACGGGGACATTGGTGGGCGAGGTGGGCGGCGGCGCTGTCATCGCTGCGCTGGCTGGCGTAGAGCGCGTCCTCGTGCGCAGTGTAGCGTACCGCGTTAATTGCACGGCCCGGGAACGAAAAAAAACAACAAAATAAACAAATGATGATGGAGCCGTTTGGCCGCAATGACATCTTTTGTCCGACGCGATGACCGCTGCACCTGTAGTGACTCCTGATTGCACGTTTGGCGGCGCCAAACGTGTAATGAGGGGTCCAGTGTGGTGGCTGTCGACACGCTTACAGTGCGGTGCGCTTCCAGATTCGGTTTCTAGTCCGCCCTTCCCACGATTGGCCGCCGCTGCCGTTCCACGCGTTTTAATGGTCAGGTGGAGGCGGTGTAACCCGACCCCGGAGCCGGCCGTTCCGAGCGGCAGCGTCTGTCTCTCTCGCACTCGTGGGGCGTCCCCGCGCGAGAGAGAGGCGGGGCGACAAAACGCCGGGCTGTTGTTCGGAATCAGTCCGGCTGGCTTCGCTGGCCGGCCAGCCGTGAGGCGAGTCCGTGTACAGTGACTCACTGGCCGGAGTGACTCCAGCGCTGGAGTCTGCTGGAATGCAGTCTTGCCGGTGGACGCGCTGGCCGCGGTGGACGCATCGGGGCGTCCCTCGGACGAACTCTGGCGCGACAACGTGGGAGCGGAGCGCAGCGCGGGTTATTCAAATCGGAGGATTAATGACGCGGTGTCAAATAGCGCGGGAAAGAAATGGGCGTCCGTCGCGCCGCGGCTCAGGAGGACCGCGCTCTGTCTCTCTCGCACGCCCACGACGCGGCCCGCGAGAGCGACGGAGGTGTTCCCAGTGTGTGCCCCGTGATGGTGCCGGACACGTGTAGCGAGGCGCGATGCTGCGGCCGACGCGGCCCGCGCGAGCTTTCTAGGTGGGGTAGCGTTTTCCGACTGATCCGCGCGGACAGCGTCTCGTCGCGAGAGAGAGAGAGAGAGAGAGAGAGAGAGAGAGAGAGAGAGAGAGAGAGAGAGAGAGAGAGAGAGAGAGAGAAGCGCTCGGATAGACATGCCGATGCCGCCATCGTGTTTTTGCGCCTTGGCTTGGCTTGGCCTGGCCTGGCTTGCTCGGCGCGGCCAGGCGGGATGATTGTTGGCCCATCATTATGGCGCAATGGCAAGTGGCTTCGCGGTGCTTCTCGCTTCGCACGCCGGCCATGGCGGCCATGGCGGCCGAGGCTCCGCGCGGCCGTCAACCCTTCCCTCTCTGGCCACCGTACACCGTCAAAGACGAGGCCAGGCTTCTTCTTTAATTTACAAAAAAAGAAGAGGTTCTAAAAATTACTGGAAGCTTAAGGAATTATTTCTTTCAAAATAATTAATCAACCTCTAAAACTGTCTGAAAAAATTGACTAAATCGCCTACTTTCACCATTTTCTTCCATTATTGAAATATTTAAAAGTAAAAATGGTTGAAATAGTGCTTTCTCCTTGGGTCGACATCGAGTCGCGCGAAAAAAGTGGAGCCCTCCCGCGATCATTACCCCTCCATGATTGGTGGCCGCGGCCGGGAGTCGAACACGGGCTTTGGCGCCCTTTTACGAGCCCTTATCGGCTAGAGTCGGGCAGGGCCATGGCAGGGCCATGGCAGGGCCAACCAGGCAGGTGGATTTGGTACATATGTATTGGCTGTCCGAGATAATGGCGGCCTTCTGTCATTTGTTCCTCCGTTTTATGGGGGCGTTATTCTGTATCAGTGGCGACGCTGTAGCGCTGTAGTAGCGACGGGGCGGGTCGCAGTGCCGCGCGCAGCTCGCCGAGTCTCGTTTACAGAAAAAGCGCTCATAAAGATGCCGTAAAATTGGCCGTTAAAACGCTGCGGCGTACACGGGTGGCCACCACCGCCACCTCGACGGGCACCTCGACGAGGGCCTCGACGGTCTTGGGCTGGCTCACCTGGCGCGGCGCGGCGACATTCCTGGCTGCGCTGGCTGCGGACACCTCTGCGGTGCTAATTAATGCCCGAGTGTTTACTTGCCTTCTTATTTTGCACCTTTTCTTTGCCGCCCCGTTTTTCGCCTTTTTTGTTGTTGTTTTTTTTGCAATTTTGTTGGGCTCGTTGTGGCGCGGCGTGTTGATTTGCGGCGCGGGGCATTCCAGCCATTGTCCAGGCGCGTCGCTGGAGGCGCTGGAGGCGCCGGGGAGCGCCACCCGGCCGGGGCCACGCCGGGCACGTCCGCGATGACGGCCTCCTGGACCGCCGGCCCGCACTGCGCCGCCCCGCGTAGATTAGTGTCCAGGGAGCCTAATAAGACATGTGCTATTACGTTTGTTTTATGGCCGCGCACTCTCTTCTCGCGCCTGTTCCTCGTCGGTGTGTGTTCCCGTGCGTGCGTGTGCGTGTGTGTTGACTGCTCTCAATTATATTATCACTCTCGGGTTTCCCCGGCTGACGCGCCGGACGCGCCTGACAAGGGGGCTCTCATTCAATCACTACCTGGTAATTTATGGCGGCCGGGTGGCGCCGCTGTAAAGTTGACTGAAATACAAAATGCTATCGTTACGACTTGTTTAACGCCGCTATGTGGTCGCCACGTGTGCGCTCGACTAACCGCTGTGTTTCCTTGTCTGTTCCAGATGCACTAGGTGGTAAGTAGCGGCGACTGCAGTGGCGGCTTCGGCACGCTTCGCGGCGGCAAGTCGACTCATTCCGAGAGTCGTCGCTCTGTCTCTCTCGCACCGATACGGCACGCCCCGTGAGTGCGAGAGAGACAGAGCGACGACTCTCGGAATCGGCCTGCAGGTGAGCCGATTACCTCGGAATCGCGTCGCCTGTCGGCTTACGGACGCCTCGCCGGCCCCGGGGGGTGGGGTAGGCAACCCGCGGCGGGACGCGGTGGAACGCGGGGGAACGCGGCAGCCTTGAGGAGGCCGTCGGGGACGTCGGGGACGTCGGGGGCCTCGAGGCACGTCGAGTCCTAAGACGACAGCGCGGTGGTTCCGCACTCCCAGAGGGATAAAAGTGTGCGCCACAAATATTGAAAATTCATACAGCAGAAAATTTTGTCAACTTGAGTAAACATTTGAAATTGAGGGTTTCCTAAGTGGTGGTTCTGTTTCCCTCGGCTTGCGGGATAGGACGTACCCGGTACCTCTGGTTAGCCTCGGCTCTGGGCCAGGGCGGTGCCCCTTGGACAGCGTGATCCCGTGATGTACTCGGGCCACTTTCCCCTCCCTCCCCCTCTCTCTGGAATTTGTAGCAACAATCCTGTGATTCGTGGCCGGGACGGCTTTGGGGCTGAACGCCCCTTTTTGTTGGGCGCGGGGCCCTCGTCCGTGGCGGCCAACGTGACGGGGCTGCTGATCGGGCAGCGGCGTGGCAGTGGCGTGGCGGCGCGCGGCGTGAGCGGCGCGTCAGGTGGATAATAATATGGGGCTGCGACCGCACTCGCTCACTCACGTAATCTATTTGCGGAACGCTCGCAAAGTACATTTTGTGGAGGGCGGCGTGCTGGCTGCCTGCGGGGTGGAGGCTGACGTGCGGAGCATGGCGGAGCATGGCGGAGCGCCCCGACGCCGCTTTGCAGTGCCGGGGTCGCTCCGTCTCGCTCGCACACAACCGGACGCCCCGCGAGTGCGAGAGAGACGAGCGCTGCTTGGAATGAGCCCGCTGCGGGCGCGTGGCCGCGCCGGGGTTGGCTTGGGTTTGGGTCCCCGTGGACGCCCCGCCCCGCCCCGCCCCGCCCCGCCCCAGCCCGGCCTCCAGGGTCCCGCGGCGGGTCGGGGCGGCGGGGAGGCGCGTGTCGGGACTGTCTGAACGAGGGTAGCTCCGGGGCTAAATAAGTAAGGCGGAGTACGTGAAACACGCCGAGCCCGGCCGTCGACGGCGGCCTGCCGGGGCGTCCTTGTGCTCGACGGCGTCCTCACTGTCGTTTTGTCGCGTGGGAACGTGTCGCCGTCCTCGGCCGTCTCCGCCAACGACCGTGCGAAGTAAGCAGTCCGCACTTCGCGCCCCCCCCCCCCCCCCCCCCGGCCGCATCGTAAAACGGTCCAGGGTCTGGACTCCAGACTGGACGGCGCTGGAAATGAGCCATCCGGACCATCGCGTTGACGATCACGCCCTGCTTGACGGGCGTCGCAGCACCGCGTCGATGGACGTCTAACGCGGTCGTCAGCGTCCGTTTTTGCCGCCTGATTCGAGCTGGCCACTGCTTCGGCTGGACCCAGTACTGTCATCATCCGCAGACACGGGGAATGAGGCAGGCAGGAAGGAAAGGTGGCTCCTCGGACTTTTTCCGGCCGGCCTTCCGTTTTTCGAGAAGGACGCATTGAAACGGCTCTATTTACCACTCCGTGTTTTTTTCACCCCGATGTTGTAATGGTGGTTGAATCGAGTCCGCGGCAGTGGCGTGGCAGTGGCGTGGCAGTGCTGGCAGTGGCGTGGCAGTGCTGGCAGTGGGAACGCCTTTTTTTGGCCCCTTGCTGTCGCGGTGCTTGGTCGCTGTGTCTCCCTGCTTCCCGGCAAACGAGCCCAGCGGGGTCGCGGGGCGCTCGGCACTCGGCGCGGCAGAAGGCGTTCGTTCGGCGTTTCCCGGCGCCAGCCCGGCGCGCGATCCTTTGGCCGCGTGTCATCGTTACTTTCGGCCAGGGTGTGGTGGAAGGGGGAGGGGAGGGGGATGTCCGAAAGTCGTGTCGGGGTGGCGGTGGCCAAGTTTGGGCAGACTGTTGCAGTGGCCTGGCGTCTCGGCCAGCCCGCTAATGAGCCCTTCTCGTGCTGACCCGCCGCGCCCCGCCGCGCCCCGCCCCGGCCGCGGTCGGTCAACGCATTTCAACGCCTTTTAGCCGCTAATGCTTTGCCGGCTGGAACGCCCCGCCGCCACCGCTGCCTGGCTGGTCTGAAACAAATTACCAGCGCTGATGGAAAAGCGGTCCACGCCACTGCAGGCCCCCGGCCGGCCGCGCGCCCCGCCCCTGTGGGGCCTGGAAAAGGGGGGGGGGCTCAGGAATGATTGCGGCGACGACAGCAACGCGTTTCTGCTGCCCGGAACATTGCATGCCGCGAGTACAAACTTCCTCCTCCAACACCACCACCACCAACTCGCGCGGCCTTCAGCACCTTTCGTTGACGGCGTCCTGGCGGCGGCGGTGGACCCAGCGGACGGCGCTGGCCTCCGTTCGCAGTGCTTTACATGTAAATGCACGTGCCAAATTCCCCCCTCGTCCCTCCTCTCTCTCTCTCTCTCTCTCTCTCTCTCTCTCTCTCTCTCTCTCTCTCTCTCTCTCTCTCTATTTGAGGGGCGTTGACGCGAATGTTGCGTGTTCGAATCCCGTTAGAATCGACGGCTAAGCTTCGCCCCCCACCCCCCTCTTCCTTCCCCCTCCCCCGGTCCGTCCCTGCTCCCAAAGCAGACATTCAATGATAGTGGTACGTCGGTCCCTCCCCGGCGCGGGAAATGGCTTTGGCGGCGCCCGTGTGTAAGCGACTTGTGTGTGTGTGTGTGGTAGTGGCCAGCCGCCGTGGTCGTGACCTGGCCAGTTAATGCATGTGACGCCCTGGTGACAGTATGTGGGCCGATACCAGACCGATATGCTGATGGTGATGACGTCCCACTGATGCCATCAGGCGCCACAGTGTGTGTGCCATTTGTAGTTGGCGGGGGTGGGCGTGAAGCACCTGTCGAGATGGACAGCCGCTCGGCACGCGCGCAAAGGAAGGCGTGGCGCCGGTGTCATCCCGCGCGGTGAATCAATCAAGGCGAGTGTGTGTGTGTGTGTGTGTGTGTCGCATCGAATCAGGCCGAGCAAGACGAGCAAGACGCGCGCGCGGGAAAATTAAAAATTAGTCCTGCCGGGAACAGGTCGGGCGGGCGTCGTCTTCGTCCAGCAGCCTTCGTCACCGTGTCCACGGCGATGCTCTGCCTCACGTCTGCCCCGGCCCGCCGGCCGGCCTCACCGAAACGTGATTAAGGCTAATAATTTTATAAATCTCATTTGCCGGCAGCCGTTTTAATCACACGGGCCACTGGGCACGCGGCACCGGGCCGACTATTGACAGCCGGCGGCAGGCCGAGCCTTGCAGGCCGGGCCGGCACACTGGCCGCGGGGCGCGGACGACGTCGAGGCGAGGCGGGCTTTAATTAGCGGGCCGGCCACCTGTTTGCCGGTTTCTGCCGCGCGGTTTGGCAGTGTAGGCATTACGGGTATTATGCATGGCCGCGTAAGGCCGGCGCTTTCAGTTTCACGTGTGATCCGTTTAATGCCCTCTTGTCAATTATAAGGCAATGAATAATCCGGCGGGCTGGCTGCCTGGCTGGCTGCCTGGCTGGCGGGCTGCCTGGCTGACCGGGCTGGCGGGCAGGTTGGCGGTGCTGCGCCGCCGCGCGCGTTGCGGAAGGCCAGGAAGGCCAGGAAGACGGGCGGGAAGGCCCTTGCAAAGCCAGATAGAGATACGGACGCCTCCCAATGAAAACACCTTTCTGCATGACCAGGGTGGCGATGATTTACGAGCGCCCGCGACGACGCCCCGCCCCGCCCCGCCCCGCCCCGCCCGCCTTTCTCCAGGGGTGCAGGCCTCCGGTGGGGTGGCGACCGGCCCTTCGTTTTAGTTGCTCTCCTGCTCGGCTTGTCGTTATTTTTTTTACCATCTTTCTTTTCTGCCCCGCCTTAACGATCTTTTTCGCACGCCGTTGCAGAGAAGGGCGGTGCGGGGCGGGAAAGGGCGTTCAGGCGCCCTTCTAACAGGTAAAGAGGATGGCCCTGGCCGGACCCTGGCCGTGGCCCGGCCCGGCCCCAAGGAGGTCGGTGAGGTGGTACCCTTCTCCGCATTCCTCTAATTATGTATGCATAGCTTTAATTTAAAAGCGGCCAGGGAAAGGGAAAGGTGGAGGGGGCAAGGCTTGCGTCGTCCTCGTCGCCGTGGCCGTGGAATGCAGCACCGCAGCACCGGCGACTCGAAACAAAGTGCGTGTCCGCGGAGGAGGCTGTGGCGGCGTTGGCGGCCCTGCTGATCGTCGGCCACCGGAATAAGAGGTGTTTTGAAATTCCGGTCTCGGCCGCCCCGCTCCGAATGCGGAGTGAGGAGCGAACGCCGCGTTCCGTTTTCGCTGCTTCGCCGGCTTTGTCCCGTTCCGCGCGTCGCACGGCGTCACGGCGTCACGTGTGGCCCGCGGTCGCGAGGTCAGCGGCACGGGCCTCGCGCCGTCTCTCTCGCACTCGCGGAGCGTGCCGCGGGGGGTGCGAGAGAGACGGCGCGTCGGTACACTGTTTTTTGTGCCGGCCGGTGGAAGCGATTGGCGTTGAGGTGAGCAGGCGACCCGGCGCGGCCTGGCCTGGCCCGGGGAAGCGATTGTTTCGTTTCGTTGCCTTCGTTCCTAATCAATTGCTCACTTCCCTTTCCCCCGCCTGCCTGCTTGCCTGGCTGCCTGCCTGCCTGCCCCGCTGCGTGCGTGCGAGTGTCTGCCGTGTTGCCTTGCATGCTTGAACCGTATAATGCTCCACGCCACGGGCTTGCCCAGGCTTGCCCAGGCTTGCCCAGGCTTGCCCCCCTTCGCTCACCTTTTCCTGTCTTCGACCCCCCAATATGGAACGTGGCACCCCCAGCGGTTCTTTTTAGGGGGCCAGGGGAGTGTTTTGCACTTATAGCACACTGG